TCCCCACCTTCCTCCACCTTCTATTACTGGAAACTACACATTTAATCTAAGGAAAGATATATTAATTACAGTTATGTTGCATTTATTCACCATGGCATGAAGCAGGGAGTTACATAAGAGAATGAATTATGGTTGCTATGAGAACCATAATTTAGTATTTTGGACAAAAGTTTTAACTCTATTCAGGTGAACTATATTTAAAGAAAAATGCCAAGAGAAAAATACTCTGAAAGATCAATTTTCTTACAATGAATTTCATACAGATTTTATCTTTGCTCCAAAATGCACATAAAGAGTAGCAATAAAATACCTATTTCACAAACTGAAATAAGGGAATGAAATCTCAATGGCACTGATATAGGCAGTCATCATAAAATTCACTCATTTTGTCTACTATATCTATTATTTGATTAGTCTTGATAAAATGTTCTGCTTAATGCCAGATTTTATAAAAAGTTTATATTCTGATACTAAAATGTAAAAATCAGTTTCCTGTAATCTATGTAAGCTCTGATATATAATACTTTAGACTCCATTTGGAATCCATTGCAGACAACGAAATCTGTTCATATTCTCTGGCAGAAAAAAAAGACCATGTTTTTAATAGTCAAAGTGGGCCAGCCTTGAGAAATAAGAAAAATGATCATTTAAGTGGTCTTTTTTTTTTAGTATGTAAATGCTGGGAATTCTCATTGTATGGCACTATGTTACCATAACTGATAATTTTTACCATATAATTTTTTAAACTTCATGTTAAAATGACTAAGCAAAAATACTTCTAGAGGCCAATTTTTTGTTTATTTCTGCTGTATTATCAACTACATTCATCACCCCAGATTGTTAACACCAAAATGGCACTACAGTCCCACACTGCATGCATTTTTGATGCTTCCCTGTGGGCTAGTACAAATCAATCCTATTACCTGTAATTAAGACGGTAAATATTTTGCCAAAATCACCACCACCTTGATAAATCCAAACTACTCTATGACTCTTGAGTAATTCACATACATGCTTTTTCCTATTCATAAAATACTACTCTTCTGAGTTAAAAAGTTTAAAAAGAAAAATTGTTAGTAAATTTGCTACAAAATGTAAACTAGACAGTACATAATAATAGTACTTCAAAATTATATTTTAAAAATAATAACCAAATGGGAATTAATCAAAGGGTAAATTTCATTTCTACTGAAAATGTTACATTGAAAATCATTTCCAAGCTAAAAAAGGTAAATGCAAATAATGACATTGTAAAACATCCTACACAATTAATTTATTTGCTTCAGTTTATGAATACATATATTTTCATGGCTACTGGCTACAGTGATTCATAACTGAATATTTTCCTTTGTTATAGACTTTTTAATTAGAAAGATTAGAAAGAAAACATAACACTCCGCGAAGCCAATAAAACCTAGAGATAACTAAAAAAAATGCTACAAAAAAACAGATGATTACAAAAGAGAACTGAATATAAGAAAAACAGGAGATTTACATATAACATATCTGTTTTCTGTCTTAATTGTGATCACATTACCAAGTAAATCTTGGTTCCATTTTCAATTTATACAAAGATACTACAAATAAAATATTTCTACCAACACCATCCATTTCAATACAAGATTATTCCTATATTTGAGAAGCAAGTTTCAGCTACCCAAATCATTCACTTTCACAAGGTTTTTGTTTATTGTAAAGGATTATTTCATTTACTGCCTACTTTGCTTATAGACTCTTCTAGCTGGTTATAGCCTTTTAGTGGACTTGGAGATTGTCCTTGCTCATTTACAAAATTGTGACATCCCCTACATACTAGGAATGTTTGATTTCCAAATGTGCCCCCTGTGGAAACATAGAATCATAATTGTCCCAACAGGTAGGGTGCCTAAAGCTTTTAGGGGTATACTGGATAGATTTTTAAATATCTATTTCATTTAAAAGTTAAGGACAGAAACAACCGTGTCTGATTCAGAGTAAATTAAAGATCCGTGTTCATTGCGTTAATTCCACATTAATGAACTTGCTGACAGGATACTGAATGCTATATTCCAGGGGCTGGCAGCCTCAACGTAAGTGCTAAGTAGAGGCTGCCAGATTCCAAAGGCTCTTCATTACAGTGCAATTGCCACCGCCCAGGCTCCTGCTCCACAGCCTGGCTGAGGGGCTCGGCACAGGTAGGTGTGTGCAGGTAAGCAGCAGTTAAATGACTGGACACAGTCATTTGTTCTGAAGGTAGCTAAGAAATAAGGAAGGAAGGAATGAAGGGAAGTCGGGGAGGAAGGGAGGAAGGAGCTAATTGTAAAAATGAAAATAATGAGGGACAGGATGCATAAAGTGGATCCTTTCTGTCCCAAAATGAGGAAGTTGGGTATTGATTGAATGGGGGCCTGGATTGAGCTGGAAAGAGACTGAGGTGCCCTGGAGGAAGAGGACTAAAGGATGAAAACTTTCCGGCTATCTCCCAGTGAAGACCTAAAGGGGTCGGAAACAAAACTGCAACACAGTAACCCTCAACTTCCCTTTCAGGATTCCAATTTACAAGTCTTTCTACTTAATCGTGAGATTTCCCTGAGGTAATCTCTGGCCACTCAAATTCATCGCTCCAACCAGAACACACTCTCATTTTGAACATTCCTTCTCCCTCCAGGTAACCAAAATCCCCAACAAACATCAATCCCTAAATGCTATGTATTTCTCTTAGGTGTGGATTTAATGAACTGATCAAAATGATACTGTCAGAAGCACAGTAAAAAGTATTGGTATTTTAAAAGAGAAGCGTCAATTGCAATGCTTTGGAGTAAGGAAAGTCTTAACTGCTACTACTAGTGCACTCTAGGTTCAACCCTCCTCTCCTCTCTGGTTTATGCCTCCTCCACCCCCACAAAGTCTAGTTTAGAGTAGTGGTTCTAGACCAGGGGCTATTTTGCCCCCAAAGGACAATGCCTGCAGACATTTTTGATTGTTACAACTAGGGTAGGGAGGTTGCTACTGGTATCCAGCAAGTAGAGGCGACCAGGGCTGCCGCTGAACATTCTAAAATGCATAGGACAGTTCCCCACAACAAAGAATTATTCAGCTCAAATGTTAATAGGACTGAGGTCCAATTTATTACAGCAGCATTATCACTCCATCCCACAGGCTTCCTCACCTTTGGCCAGGAGAAGCCCTAAGCTTCAGTCAATCCCGAGTCACAATGAATCATAACTTTGAACACAAGGACATCATCTGGTATTACAGGAACACAGGAGGAGTTGTGGGCTGAAGAACATTCCACTGCAGCCTGCAGTTCATGCTCCTTCTCAGCTCCATCACATTCTTAAGCCTTAGCAACAAGAAAAGAGTACCAAGACCTCCTCCTGCTGAATGCTACCAAAATGATTAAGAAAAATATTTCATTACCCTGACCACTATTTATGCTTCCTCAATAACAAAATAAAAGCTGGCTTGTACAAAAAAAAACACAGAAAAACAAATTTGCTTTTCAGATTAGGTTTTTCAATTGTGACTGGCTCTGCCTTTCATGATGCAATATTCTCTTAAAGAAAGAAAACAAATTTAGGTTTTCATTTTTTGAGCTCAGCACAAGATTAGTAAGGAAGAAGATATGATCTAGAAATATTTTTTGGCAGCTCTAAGTATATTACAGTAAGTATTCCTACAATGTAATTCCTGTTTTCAAAATTTCATTTATCAGTTTTAAAAATAAAACAAAGAGGTTATGCCCAAACTGAAGTTAATATCTGTTTAGTGGGCAATCTTTTCTAGTTCGATCTTTTCACTCTGCACCTCAAATATAGTGGGAAAATACTTCTCTTTACAGTATAACACGAAAACCACATTTATATAGCCATCGGTTAAGCAGTTCTTAGATTTTTTTGGTCAATTAGTGTGGTTTACATTAGTGACAGAGAAAACCATTTACCTGAATCAGATAAGGATGAATGAAATGATATACAAAAGGAAAAATAACAGGTAATATGACTAAGATAACTAAACGCAGGAATCAAACTTAGAAATACACTTATAATTTTATTACCTGCTTAAAACATAAAATTCAAAACTATTTAAAATATATTTTAAAATATATTTATTAAAATATATTCTTATAGAATTATACTACTACAGATCTCTAGAGACTCTTTTCTTGAATGAGACATAATTCAATATGTTAGCCTCTAGAGAGAATATTTAAAATATTACATTAATATTAATATGTATGTTAAATAACATTAAAATATTTTGAGTTTATGACTAAAATCAGATTTTGAAAACTTTATAAATGGCCAGATAACATATAAAATAAAGACCTTTACTCAAGCTATAAAACTGTAAGTAATAATCTGCATTTCATAAATGGTTCTATAGCAATCAATTTAGGGAAAAAATGAAATACCTTCACATCAACTATTCTGTTACCTCTCTAATTCTGTAACTTTACACACTTAAAAAGTATGTTGTTAAATTCATGAGATAGTCTACACAAAATGGTCACTAGAACTCATTTTGCAAACCGCAGTAGGTTAATAACTCCACTCTTCAATTCATATGGTTTTACAATAATTGCTATTATTATTACCTTAAGCAGCTTTTTACCCAACATTTCTTTCTCTTAGTTGGTTCCCTTCTTCCAATAAGCACTAAAGGCATGAGAACAAGAGCTTTTGTATAAAATAACTATTAGCTTAGCAAACTTAAAAAGTCTGCTTGATTCTTTGGCACACTCATTTTTACAAGATTGTCTTTTTCAAAAGAAATATCCTGCCCTGAATCTTCTTTACATGAAGAACCCCAAAAGACTACACACCAACAATTCTTTCTTTGACAATGTAACCCAAATTGTCTTTTCCTTTTTGGTTTCTTGATTTAAAAAAAAAATGACAGTGAATAAATTTCATAAATCTTTTTTCTCCATTTTCCTTCTTCCCTTGGACATGAAAATATAAAAAAGCAAAATTATTTTCTATTAAGTGTCCAATTTTACCCAATCTCAAAAAAGAAGTTGGAAATGACGTGCCAACTGAAATAAAAGAAACGACAACAGTCATTGCACAGTTCCACATGCAACAAAACAATTATTAATTACTTAAACTTTATGGAATCCATTTTTATTTATAATATCCACATACCTTTCAAAGAAAAGTCCCCATGTGCATCAAATTTATCTACCCTATTGCCTACAAGGCAAACCTACAGTATTATAACTGATGACAAATGTAGATGTACTTTTCCATGTACCATTATTGCTTAACATATGCTATTCTCACAGATTATGGTGAAAAAAAGCATAAAGTTGTTGCTCTTTCACCTGACTTCCTCCCATGTGTTAGTCCCTACACCACAGCTAATAGTAGTATGTGCTCAATAAATATTTGTTGAATAATCAATGAATCAATTTTAGCTATGTTTACCAACGTCTCCTGCAACCAACTGAGGTCAATCTCAGGCCTTTTTGGGGCACCTGCATCAATATTCTTTCTCTTTTCTATTTTCAAAATAATTTTTTCTGCCTTTGCAATTTTTCACAATTACCACAGATAAAGCAACCACACATTTTCAAATCTCTAACAAACTTAGCCTCAGGTAGCTTTGTAAGATAATTCAATTTAAAAAGAGTAAGTATAGTCAATTGGACAATAAAGAATACAAATAGCTGTCCCCTCCAATTCATAAAACAGATCAACACTAACAATCCCAAAAACCGTTAGGCCAATTTGTTTTTCCTGTTTGTCTATACCACTTAGCCATTTCTGCTTCTCAAGCCTAACTATGGCCTTTACTAAGGCCATAAAAATTGTCATCCTATTATTCATTCTTTTAATGTGAACTAGGTCTGTTCTAATGATTATTAACCAGTTATTAGAATGAAATATCACATAATTCTCATTGTCTTAGACATGGTGAATAACTTTACAATATAGGACATTTTAAAAATATATTATTCCAAAATAAATAGAAGCCTAAAGTTCAACAGCTTAACAGAACCAAGTAGTAGTAATTTAAATTAACAGTAGTAGAAATAAACATAAAATGAAAGCTGAGATAAAAATATTATACCAAAGTCAGAGTTTCATTATACTATCATGAGCCCTCTAAAACTGCCAGAGATCTCCAACTATTAGCCATAAATGTTTATAACTTTTGAAAGTGAACCTTAGTCTCAGAACAGCATATAGGAATGTTCCTTTACCAGAAGGGCAAACTAAACTTAAAAAAAACCTTTTGTTTCATTTTATGTGTAGCTGGAATGGAAGACATAGCTCCAAAGACTATCTTAATAAATCCATGATGGGTAGGGGAGAAAAAAAAACCTACATTATTCAGCTTCTATTAGAATCATTTTAGTCTTATTTAATACTCCATAGTCCATTCATTCAGCACATAGTTATTAAACTACTACAGTGAGCCAGATTGTTGTGCTATGAAAATCACAATAACAGCAAAAATAGGGTTGAGCAAAACAATATTTTCATCAAAATATTTATTATTATTATTTATTATTATTGGAGTAAAAGCAAGCAAATATTTAAGTCCAGAAAATAATAAGAATGAAAAAGGAAATTTGAGTTAAGTTCCCTTCTCCCCCACCCAAACAAACAGGATCATGTTATTCTTAACATCTTAATAGTAGCTATTACTCCCTCAGCCTACAAACTGGTATTAAACTCTCTGAATTGTAAAAGAGAAATTTGAAATGAGCAACTGTACTATTTGTAATTAGATCTCTACTACTGTTCTTCACTTTCTCAGAATGGATAACAGTATAACTGTATACATGAGACTGAATTAACTAAACACCTGGAATTCTGGCTAAGAAATCGAGTGTTATGTCTGTAGATATACATGTGTGCTGACCATGACCTGAAAATTTAAATTCTCTAATACAATTTTTTCTAGAATCCTTTCTAGAAAGCATGAAAAGTTAAAATCCTTGCCTTTTAATCTTGAAGACAAATACTTTAAAGCATCCCTTTTGAAGATATTTCTTTCAAAGTTTTTTCTTTTTGCAGGGGAAGGGAATGTTGATTCTAATTACTTATTAGGCTGTGTCCCTCTATTCTAATCATTTTCTCATTTAAAGTCAACTTCTGAGTTAACATTGAACACCACAACCAAACTCTCCACGTAAAAATGATTTTAAAAAGCTCTACCTGTATTGAATGAGTCTACCCCTCAATTCACATGCAAAACAGTCTTAGTGTAAATGGTGTATGTTCTCTTCATCTGTAGATGTCAATCAAGATTATTCTATGACTGTGGTAGACAGCACTCAAAAATGTGTGACATGGGTCTTAAGTCTGTGTCTCTGAGTGTCTAGGTGACTCTCAGTATAGTACTCATTTGGAGTTTGGGCTAGATCCTTAGCTCCCTAAGTGTGGTCCCTAGAACAGCAACATCATAATCACCTGGAAATGTGTTAGAAATGAAAATCGAGACCCTACCCAGGCCCACTGAGTAAGAAACTGGCGGAGGGGCCCAGCAATGTGTTTTAATACCCAGGTGATTTTGATATGTAGTCAAGTTTGAGAACCTCTGAACCAGATTCTCAAAACTTCAAAATTCTACTGTTATTAGATCAACTATCTTATTTAGAACTAGCACCATGTTTAATGAATTGCATTCAGTCATTCCTAGTAGTCTGAATAAAATACTATAATCGAGATACCACATTAGTAGTGTTTTAAAATTTACATTTTACAAAGACAAAATTTATATTAGCAAGCTTTTCTCTATTAAGCAGACACTGTGACAAATGTTTGGTATTGTTTTAACAGTGGTGATCTCCAAATTAAATCTTGGTTCTCTTCATATTTATAATGTAGGAACGTATTCTGGCTGTTGTGAAAAATAAATTCATGCTTTTATGACCGTTAAGGTGAAGGCATTTTGCATCTATTTCTCAAGACTGGCCGCTACATACAGCTTTCTCTCACTTTCCCATTCCCCCTGAGAGAAACACTGGGCTATAATTCAAAAGGGGGTGCAATAACAGAACTACTTGACTAATTCAATTAGATGAGGCATTTTAGGATTCCCACCTACAGGAAATATTAACCAGTTAGAAAGCATGAAGTCTCATACATTTAAATAATTCTTACCCCAAATAGATCTGGTCCCAAAATGTGATTCAATGAAGTATATTTCAACAATTAACAACATGCAAATTGTTTTTACCGAAGTGAAACTTCCAAAGACAAAAGTGTTAGACTTAAGAAGATACCTTTAACTTTCCTGAGGCTATTACAAAAGGAGAACAAAAATAATCCTTTGACACGACATAAAACCCAAACCCGGATGGCTGTCAGAGACCAAAAGGCAAAGCTATTAGAAAACAGCAGGGGTCAAGTTTAAAAGTCCTCTTTTGCTCCCCAAAAGAATCCTTTCCCACCCAATTTCTGTTTTGCCAGGTGATTGACTTACAACAAACTCCTCCCTCCCTGACTCACTTCCTTTAACACTTAAGTCAGCCTAACATTTTCATTGAAACAAATGCTCTTATCTCTTTTCACACCCTAATATTAGAAAGGGTTCTTACTAGCCAAATAAACTGACATACTCCTAGAAACACTTTTTTCTTAAGAAAAAAAAGGAATGTACCTAATTTCTATTAATTTTGTCAAAAAAATAGTAGACAAAGCCAAAAACCTTAGAACTATTTTCTTGCTCCAGGCACACACAAAATAGCTTTCACTGAGAATCCAAAAAGCATTTATTTTACAGTACTCAGTAAAAGCATATTAAAATCTTCTGCTCTGCCATTCCAGACCCATAAAGAATTTAGTCATGCAAGTGACTAAATCCTGTGCAAAGGTGATTAATGCACCCAGCAACCTATTTCATTTCCAATTTTCCACTTCCAACTATTTCCTGTCATTATATATATACATTTCTTAAATTAGTTAGATACTTGGCAGCATTTTGTCAAAAGGCTTCCAAAATTTTTTTAAAGACAGTCAAATGCCAAATGCCTTTTTAAAAAATCCTCCAGATAGTACTTGACACGTCTTCAGAATTTTCAACACTTTACATCTACTTAGGCAACTAAAAGTACTCAAACGTAAGAAAGAATTTTTACAAAGGCATAAATTTGAACCTTCTCTTAATTTCTACGTATAGAACATTTATACCATTGCCTCCCAATTGTGTTTGATAACATAAGTGAGATCAGAGTGAAAAAAATGGCAATAGGACTATGGCAGGCAATTCTCTGCTGCTCCCCCACACTGGAATACTGAGATGCCTCCTGGGCAAAAAAACAAAAAAAAACAAAAAAAACAAAAAAAAACACCACATTTTAAGGCAAGATATGTTAATACGGCTTTAAAGAAACCTGCGCCTGTAATTTTTTTTGGCTTTGTTCAAGGGAATAAATCACTTTGTCAAAGGATGCTTCAGACTTCAGCTACACTTCACAGATCTAAGGTATATCAAGTTCTCTTGACATATATGGACATATATTTTCTTTTATTCTGTAGAGGTTGTATTATTGACTAAAGACCTTAAAAAAAAAAAAAAAGCTCACACTGCCTCCTACTGTTAGAAAAAAAACTTATAAGATCAAATATGGTCCACAAAAAGCAGTGTGCAATGAGAGCAAGGAAATTGTCTTAGCCTATTTTCTTTTTAAATCTATTTCCAAATCAAAACTTCAAAAGGGTTGAGATATTATCTATCACCCATACAAATGTACTGCAAAAATCGTCACTAGGTGACTTCAGAGTTGGAAACCATCTTCCCCAAACATGTTTTTGTTTTCTTGTGTGACATAAACAGGAAAAAAAAAAAAGAAAATTAAGAAGTGCCACCCTACTTTGCCAGATGGATGGTTACTTTTCCAGATTTAACGTAGTATTAAGTGGTTGGTTTCTCCCCTTCCCTACCTACAGTGAGGTAAATTTCTGCATGTCAGCAGAACAGATTCAATATACCTGCTCACCTTCTAATCAGAGGGGGTATGGTCATACCCAGGGCTTCCTAGACCTAGATGATTTTCTACATATTTAAGAAGCTGGATATAATGTCACCAAACTTGTCAATGATATACTGTCTTCAAAATTTGACAAAAGCTCTTGAGGGCATCATGTACCTGACCCTGTCCACCTCAGCCATGATACTATAATGATACTGTATTAAATTACTAAATATGAAACACAGAAACACAAACAATAGCTTTGGGTTTGTTTCTTTAAAAATGACACTTGTATTAAAAGTCTTAAAATGAGGAGACAATGATTAAACGCATGAAATTAAAAATTACAATTAGTTAAATTCTCTTGGTACATCACAACAGCAAAATTTTGCTCTTTGCTTCTGGAGGAACACCCTATAACAAATAATCAAAAAACATTTAAAAATAATATAAAAGGGGAGCTAAATACCTGAAAATTTGAACAAAATGAAGCAAAAACAAAAAAATGAAACATTCATTGCAAGACATGGAAATTACATTTTAAAGTCTGAAAATGATAAAGAAATTCACCAAACAACAGGCCCTATTGTCCTGGCTCCTTCAGGAAGATTACTGAAAGGAAACTGGGAAGTGTTTTGGGGAATAGCAGATTCTGGGATATGGAGGGAAGTTCACAGGTTGGCACCGGCTGGAACAGCTGAGTTTTGAAGGCACTCTGCAGACACAGGGGTGCTGGGAGCCCTGAATCACATTTACAAAGTCTTTGTACTGTATTTTAAAAAGCTAGTCATTAAAATCTGTTACTGCCCAAAAAAAAAAAAAAAACCCCAAAAAGCTAAACTTAAAAAAACAACCACACACACACACTCACACACAATAGTACACACAAAAATGTGCAGATCTGTAACATTTTTTTCACAGCTGATAAAAAAAAATACTACCGTTCTCCCCCAGACTCCCCTTTGATACAGTAGGTAAACAAAATAGATTTTTTTTTTCCACAAATATCAGCAGACACTTTCTGGCACCCCACACTGTATTGGCATCAGTGTTAACAGTCCCAGTTCAGATGTGCAATACTTCAGATTGGATATACTGTAACAAGAATCCAACTTTGCATAGACATCCTCAGAATCGCAATCAGTCACGGGGTTGCCCTTCCAAGCTGGCAGAAAAGGAACCCAATCTTAATTTCCAGCTACTCCTGGAAAACAAGTAAAAACAAAAGTTTCTTCCTCTCCTCCTGCTCCTTCATATGGTCCTCCTGGACTTCCTTCCATGTATTTAAAACTTGGAAGTAGAAAACGGTTGTTGACCAAAAACAAAAAAGAAAAAAACCCACCCCCCCCCTTCGCCAAAAAAACTTTTCCACCTTCTTCCTCAGCTTTTCTTTCACCTCTCCCCCCCATTTTTTTTTCCAGGCTGAAACTTTTGCTTGCCGGGTGTCAAGCTGCCGATACAGCGCCTTAATGGCTACTTAAACGGGAAATAAGCGTCAACCAAAATCAATGAGAAACGTACATGCTGCAAAGAGCCACATTTCCACCAGGGTCTCGGATGGTCAGGACGGGACACCCCCTCGCAAACGGGGTGGAGGCAGGGGACGCAGGCTGCAGAGGCCAGCCGGGCTCCGGGACATCCTGGCCAATGCAAAGTCGTCTCCAATCTCAAAGAAAGAAGAGAAATCACATTTAGAGAGTCGGGTGCGTTTGGCTTTTGTGCGCAAAACGCGGCCGGCGCGCGGCGACCGCGGGCGCCTCAGAGGATCACGCAGGCGGAGCAGCAGCCCTCGTCGCCGTTGGGCTGCGCCGCATAGTTCATCTGCCGCACGATCTCGGCAAACAGCTCGTCCACCGAGGCTTTGTTTTTGGCCGACGTCTCCATGAAGGGGCAGCTCCACTCTTCGGCCAGGGCCTTGCCCTCGCCATACGAGACCTCGCGCTCGCCCTCCAGGTCCACTTTGTTGCCTACCAAGATCATGGGCACGCGCTCGTACCGCTTCACCCGGATGATCTGGTCCCGCATGGGCTTGATGTCCTGGAAGCTCTGCTGGTTGACGAGGCTGTAGACGAGGATGAAGCCCTGGCCATTCTTGATGTACAGGTCCCGCATGGACGCGAACTGCTCTGTTCCCGCTGTGTCCAGTATCTCCAGCACCGACGGCGACGAGTCCACCTCAATCTCCTTGCGGTAGAAGTCCTCGATGGTTGGGTCGTACTTCTCGATGAAAGAGCCGGTCACGAACTGCACGGTGAGCGCGGACTTGCCCACGCCGCCCGAGCCCAGCACCACCACTTTGTACTCTCTCATGGCTCCGTCAGCGCTCGCGCCGCGCCTGCCGCGGCCCCGTCGGGGCTGCGCGCCGGGGAAGGCTGTGCTTGGCGGCTGGACTTCTCCCCTTCCTCAGCTCCGCAGGAAAAACCCAGGAGAGGGTGACGGGGGGCGCAGGGCGCAGAAATCACCAAGCAGGGGCTGGGGCCGGGCCAGCCGGCGGCGGCGGCGGCTCGTCCCTTGGGCGCGGGTCCCGGGCCCGCAGCAGTCCGCGGCAGTAGGGGCAGCCCGGGCGGCGCACCGGGAGGACAATGCCGGCAGCTTGTGCGAGGCGACGGCTGGATCTTCTCACCGCGGCAGCCCGAGACGGTGGGGAGGCGGTGGTGGAGGGCTGTGGAGGCGGCTGCTAATTGCGCGTCGGGTCGGGATGCGCGTGGCATGAGTCCCCGCGGAACGTGCGCCCACCGCCGCGGCCCATCGCGCTCTCTCCTGCAGCCTCCGCTGGGCGAGGGCTTCCTACTCGCCGCGCGCAGCCCGGCCCTCCCCGCCCCGGCGAGCATGCCCAGTGCGCGGCCGGCTGCGCCCCGCCCGAGATACCGCTCCTGGTTTTCCGAGAGGCCGGGCGGGGGCGGGGCCGGGGGCGGGGCTCCCGATTCGAGTCCGGGTTCGGGAGTGGCGCGAGTCCAGGAACTGGATGGGGTACAGGAGGTGAGAAGTGTGTGTTGTGTGTAAGGGGGCTGGGAAGGCTCAGATGAGAGGACGAAGGCCGCTTTCTTTCACGGCTCTGGGGTCCGTGCGCAAGGGCGGTGGCTCTGCGAGGAACGCGTGGGCGCGGCGAGCCGGCTCAGGGGTGGAGTGGGCTGTGCGCTTGCTGACTCCGGTTACCAGAGGCTCGTGGACGCCATTCAACACGACCCGGGCCGGTGTGCCTCGGGCCGGAAACCCACAGGACATTATGGTGCTGCCGAGTGCGTGAGCGGTGGGCGGAGCATCCACACCCCACAGCTCTTTCTACCGTTCGCAACATAAACGCTACTCCGCCGTCTCTGGCCGGCTCTTTGCACTGCAGCCCGCGGACAAAGAAAACGGGAGAGACGGTGGGCCTGAGACGTTGCCCAGATTAGGGAAGGGGTAGCCTTGTGTGCCCGAACTCAGTCGGGGCAGGGTCCCTGTGGGTCCTACCTACCCTCACCCACCACATTCGGCTGTGGTCAAAACCCGGAGACCGGATCACTTCCCGATCCAGAAGTCTCGGCGGCGCCCACAGTCAGTCAGGGCATGCTCAGTCGCAGAGCAGGTTTTCGGGCTTGGAAGTAGGAAGCTTTTGCACCACACACCCACACTCCAGCTCAAATTACCTCTCCCAGACTCCGCACTCATTGGTCTCGGGGTGCGAGTCTCACACCCCTAAGTGTTCTCCCATTGGCTGCCTCCAAGGTTTTATCAGTTTGGGCTGCTTCATTGGCTAAAAAGTAGCCTTCGCTCGCGATTGGTTATTTATAGAGATTGAGCTGAGAGGCGGAGGCACAGCTGTTCTTTCTCCGCTGCTCCCCCCTCTTCCTCCCACTTTCCCAACCCAGTCGTTTTGAAGCTAAAGTGAAAAAACAAGAGGAATTTAGGCGGAGAGCTCAGACCTAAATATAGTTCTTTGTTAGTGTTTTCGAGAGAGTCTGACTTCTCGTGCCCAGTCACGACTGTCCCTTAAAGGGAGCAGAAAGGGCTAATTACAGTTTTTGGTCCGCAAGAAACCACAAAGTTTCCAAGTTTTTTGCACGGAGGGGGATGGGGCTAGGATGAGAAATGGGCCACTTGGAATTCGTTTCACCCGGAGGGGTGGGGGGAATGTCCGGGCTTGCTCCGTAGGAAACGTCTTCGCTGTCGGGCGGGCAATCGCTAGACTTGGCTCTTCTCGTACTCACGGGAGGTGAGAGGGAGATGCCTCGACTTGTTCTGAGTCTCTCTTGTTCCTCACCAAGGAGAGATGTCAAGACCTGTCTGCAGCCTAGCGCTGGCAGCGGGAGCCCCGGGGCGAAGGGGGTGGGGAGGCCACCGAGCTGCGTCAACCCTGGCTCTGTGTCCTGCATTTCTTAGCCGATGCCACTGCCCACTGGTTTAACCGACAGCATCAGAGAGATGAGCCGGCAGTGTGCTAACACTTGGTTTCTGTTCCTAGTCCTGCCGTGACTCACTGCTGCGTTTGAGAGTCAGCCTTCTCCAAACTCCTGGTTAAGGCTCCTAAAGTTCGAGTCTGCAGCTTGACGTCCTTGGGCACCGGGCCAGGCGAGACGTGGGCAGCAGCAGATTCCTTGGGTGAGGTGGGTGATGCTTGCCCCCGCACCCAGTCCCTCCGGTTAGTGGAGAGAGGGCTTCCACCTTGACTGTCAGAGTGCTTAGATATAATTATGCTTATGTAATTCTCCAGAAAAACGTCTCTGAGGCAAATTCACCTAATACAGCTGGAGAGAACCTTGTCAACATCCAATGTTTAATGTCGGCCAAGTGATTTACATGTACTGTTACTCTGCGTAATAATTACACCCATTTTAAAGATGAGGAAACTGAGGCCCTGAGGTGATCGGTAACTTGCCTGAGATGTCACAGCTAGGAAGTGGACAAGGTAAGACTCCAACCCAGATATTTGTCTGCAGAGCCTGGTCTCATAACGACAAGGCTACACTTCCTTGTCTCAACAGAGTTCTCGTGGCTTAAACCTAGAGGCAATGTGATCAGACTGCCTCTTAAACTCAAGCAAGAGGGACCTCTACCCAGAGCTACCCTTTGGCTCTCCTCTGGCAGTGCCCCTCTCAGGGTCAACATGATGGCCCATCTGGAGCCTTGAACCCTCTTCTAGACTACACTCCAGATAGAACTCTGAATGCCCTGCTCTAATAGTATCAAACCTCCTTCCAGGATCTGCTTCGGACTCTGAACTCACCCCTGTGTCCAAGAAATGGCTTTTTGTTAGGGTATGGACCGTATTTGGACCTGTGGGCTGAGGTATGCATTCCCAGGTGCTTTCGGCCTCTCCCAGTGCAGGAAGAAGGGTCAGTTAGGATCAGCTTTATCTTCCCTGACACCTTCCACCTTCCACCTTGCAGGAGTTCAAGAATTCATAATTCACAGTTGGCTATCCATTTCCTTGTGAGGAGGTATTTGTCAAGGCGGGAGGACAGATCATATTTTGTTGAGCAGTTTGTTATCTTGATTTATAACTTAAATACTTAGATTAATGCTGTGTGGGGCCTCTATTTGTACTCTTGTCCACAAATGTTAGGTGTGGTTGTGATTATGATGTAGAAGAAAATGCTTTGTCCTTATAGGCCTGGTATGTAATCTCAAGTATTAGATATCAGTTATTATCTGGGGCCTTGGGCAGGTCCCTTAAGCTCTCCTAACCTTAGTTTCCCTATCTATAAAATGGTGATAATAAAAATTGCCTTAGCCAGCTAGCTACACAAGGAACCTTGGTGGGAATCTAGTCACCAAATGCCTCATTTTACGCAGAGAGAGCTGAGCAGAATTAGAACCCTGGTGTCCCAGCTGCACTTACCGTGGTGCCAGGCTGTCTGTGGGGATAATAATTAACAGATAATAGATGGAAACATGCTTTTAAAGCTGTAGCATCCCATACATGTGTCAAATTACTACCCAGACCCAGGCACTCAGCCCCATCTGGAGATACACATCCTCAGGACTCTAGGTAACCTAACCATGTGAACAGGTATTATTGAACCTTGATGGCCTCTTCAGTACCAGAAAGATGCCACAGTATGAATACTTTTTATCAGACCTTCTTCAATAGCAATTTTTGTTACACTCAGATAGTCTTCCACAGAAAGATTTGGATTGGGGCTTTGGGATTCAAAATGAGGCAATGAAAATTGTTGATGTACACATTTTTAAGGTTGGCTACTTCCTCCTGTGAAATCTGTTCGGAGTCTTTTTCTACTCCCACTTACAGTATGAATCATTATCTATCCCGTACCATAATGATTTACATGTCTAGGTCTGGTCACCCTAAGCACCATGTGAATTACTCGAGAGCAGGGTCCGGGGTTTATCTTTGGAGCCACCTCTGTTCCTCATAGCACCTAGTAAAGTAGAAGGCTCTCAATAAGTATATGTTGATGAATATGTAAATAGTGTTCTATTTCTTTTCCAAACTCTGTGGTGAAAGATTACATCAATCTTGGTAAGACATAATCATTTCCTAGATCCATAGAAAAATGTATACCAATGTTTTAGTCTTTCTCTTGTTGAGTTATAAATATGCTAGGATGATCAAAGTCTACTCTTAATTTGGGTAGAAACACTAAATCAATGCTATCTTAAGGAAAGATACCAAAGCAGCCAGTGGATAAACCCTTCCTCTGAAGGAGACTTAACATTTCCAGATAACATGAAAAAGGATTTCTGGAAAACAATCTAAAGTAAAAGCTACCTGGTAAGGACAGTTTAACCTTTGATACCGAATGTGAAATAAACAGGGGTCCCCTGCCTTATCTTTGCTCACACAGTGGTACTGCTGAGCTCCTTCTAAGACACTGGGGTTGGGCCTTCGAAGAATTAGATTTGTTAGAACAGGAATCTTCTAAGTCCTCAAGAAAATAAGTACCTACTTGTCCTCTTCATTTGTACAATGTTAAGTAGAGGTTTATTTCATGATGTTCATAGTTTTAGCTGGTGCCACCTATACGTAAACAATTCTAAACAAATATTTCTAATTTTGAAAACACCAAAGGTAAGTCGATGGTGACCATGGATCATTATTTTAAAACAGAAATGTGATACTAACTGTGCCTCATGGAATTCTCAATAAATATTCATTAAGGAACTAAAAATGTTACAGCGTAACCATGTATCCACTAGTAGACTTAGGATATTTTATTTTATCAGTGGTCCTTTTTAAATAATCTCCAGTAATGTCCCTAAAAATATTTTTTAAGTCAACCAAATCATTATCGTTTCATGCTATTGATACTATTCAGATTACACTTTGGGTAGCCAACATATCACATATTATTTCATACTACTACATACTATTCATATTATACTTTTGGCAACCATCTTGTAAGAAAAATTATTTGTAATGAGATTTTGTATCTTTATGTCTTAACAATGTCCAAAAATCCTAGCATGATACCTAAACAAAGATCTACCTAGTTTTATAATTTCAGTGTCTTGTCTATATAACTTGTACTCTAGTTCCTTATTCCTATTTTAATTACTCTTCAATGAAGATATGTAGGAGAGTCTTAAATTTTAAATTAAATAACCTCTTAAAATCATTCAAGCTTTCTACGAACTTTTTGATAGGCTAAAACAAAGAAATGGAATCAAAATAGTTATTGTCTCAAGGGCGTTTGTTGGTTTAATATTTAATAATGACCTCAACATACAAATTAATATAGGATGTTATTTTTTATAATGGAAACCGCTCAAGTCTCTGTGGAGAAATCACACTGGGCTAAAGTGTCACCCAGGCTTACCACAAACGGTAGGTTTGAGTTCTATCATAAACTCTTACTAATAGTTTGGCTTATTTTCAGTCTTCTACCTGATTTTAGAAAAAAAAAAAAAAAAGAAAAAGAAGAAGTTCCTCCTTTCTAAGATAAATGATCTGACCTTTTCTTTCAGGTCTTAGATTTGCCCGACACCCTGATCTGTAGAGAAAAGAGCACAACTCGCTTATATACAACTTTTATATGATGAATGTGCTCTCGCTCAAGGGAAATTTTAGAGAGATTTCATTGATCCTGTTTTTCTTAGTTGAAAGCTCAATTTCAAATCCCAGTCTGCCTAAGATTTGTCTCCTCAGAACCTTCCGTTCCAGAGAACCAAATATAGCAAGAATGAGAGAATTGCTTAGCTCCATTAAAAAGAATTTTCCTCTCACTTTCTTTTCTCTCACCAAGTACTAGATTAAAGCAGCCCCCTTTTCTCCTGGAGAAACAACAGTCCACCTCTTCCCCTGATGCACAGTCGAAGCCTATCACCCCTTCTGCAGCAGTGGCTCCAGTAAGTCTTTCAGACTTTGTGTTTTTGATGGAGACAATGAGACTCTCTCTTGGGGGAAAGGAAGTTTCTTTTGCAAGTTTTTCTTTGTAAACCAGCAGTAGGGTCTGGTTTAAGGAATCTGCCTAATGGGGGTTCTGTTTTATTGGCCTCTGTTAGATAATGTAGCAATCAGAAGATAGAAGAAAGGATCTATGTATGGCGGCTTAGGAAGATAACACACAAAACTGCAATATTCGGTCTATTTAAATAATTTTGTGATTGTTATATTCAATTCTGTCATGGATGTCTGTAACTCTTGACGTTTTTCTAAAATCTGTTTTAAAACTTATGTATAAAAGGGAGATAATTGTTCCATTATTCAACTATTATAATATGGACATATTATCACAAAATATAAAAACGAAATCCTTTTCATTAAGGAATTTATGTCCTTAAAAGAAAACCTTATTGCTTTTCTTGTACACTATAATTTTATGGAATTAAAAAGGTGTGATCTTGGAAAACTGAATAAACGTTTCTGTGTTCCTTGTAAGCTAGATTTTCTAAATATGTGGTTCAAACTTATCTGTAAGAGCCAAATAGTATATATTGAAGGTTTTGCAGGCCATACATCTCTGCTGCAGCTATTCTGCCCTTGTTTGTGAGAGCAGCCAGAGACATTCTGTAAATAAATGGGCATGGCTGAGTTCCAATAATACTTTTTTATGGAAACAGGTGGTAGGCTGCATTTGGCCCACAGGACCATAGTTTGCCATTTTTTAAACCATATATTGAGAAAAAAAATCTTTGTTGCTGGAGGTTCTTTTAATCAAAATGAACTACTAACCTGTCATTAGATGTAGTCATAACTCTTAGCCATAAGCGATAGTAAAATGCTCTCAAATAGGGAATATATACCAACCAATATGTCTGTAATTCTGTGTAATTTATGAAATGTTCATATTGCTATTTTTATACAAAAAAATGCAAAATTTCATACTAATAATTAAGGTATCAGCCATTTTTTATTGGCCTTCTCATCTCTTTGTTATTGATTTGTAATTGTTGATTATGGATTATAGTTATATAATATGTAAGGGGATACTAGTCCTATATCAATCATATGCCTTGCAAATAATTTTATCAGTTTGTTATTAGTCTTTGATTTGTTTGTGCTTTTTTATTGAGTTTTTTTTTTTATTCCTATTTTTAAAATATCTCTTCCTTCGTGGGTTTTCTTCATGAGTTTCATGCAAAAAATAGGAAGACAGCTCATACCCCAAGACATTTTATACAAACAGTGTTTTCTTCTAGCATTTTTATGGTTTCATTTTTTTTTATGGTTACATTTTGCTTTGCTTTTCAACTGAAAGGAGAACATCAGTAAAGATGATGAGACTGAAATCCAAGCAATAGGATGTCCTCTAAACAGGTTTCTGAGGGAAGGGCAGAGGAGTCTGAGAACACTGGTGGCAAGTCTGAGGAAGCATCCTCCCTCTCAAACAGGAAAGAAGAGCCAAGAGAGCCAAGTGAGTGAAAAGTTGAAAGAGTTCACACTGCAAATAACCTTTCTGTAAATAAAAATGTCAAGGCACCTGCTGAAAGGTGGGGGGCCGGATGTGAATTTGGGAACCTGAGTAGAAATGAAATTGTTTCTCATAGTGACTGTGCAGCACACCTTGTGAAGTTGTTAGGCTGCTAAATTTGGGTTACATGAATTTGTGAAGATGCCAATTCAGGGGGTTTTATTATTATTAAGAAGAGTGTTGAGCTGAGTGTCATAGCTCATGCCTTTCATCCTAGCACTTTGGGAGGCAGAGGCAGGAGGATCCCTTGGGGCCAGGAGTTTGAGACCAGCCTGGGCAATAGAGCAAGACCCCATCTCTACCAAAAATAGAAAAGTTAGCCAGGCTTTATGGCAAGCACCTGCAGTCCCAGCTACTCCTATAGGCTGAAGCAGGAGGATTGCTTGAGCCCAGAGTTTGAGATTGTAGTGAACTATGATGATGCCACTGCACTCTAGCCTGGGCAACAGAGCAAGACCCTGTCTCAAAAAAAAAAAAAAAAGGTTGAAAGGATATTGATAATTCCTCTTAAGTTTCTGAGATCAGATTCTGTTAAAATTTCTGAAGACTTCTCAGCATGTAGAAATAAATAATTGTAAAGTGAATTATATATCTTTTATATGCCCATACCCTCAGTGAAAATATGTACATCAACCTGTGATTTATGTAATTAAAAATTCCATTACTAGTGGTAAATTAAATGTACTCAATAAAACTGCCTTATCTATATAGTCTCTTGAGTTTCTCTTTCTACTGCATGCTAAATTACAATAAAACCTTGACTACCTAAACTCTTAAGAGTCATTTGAGTATTTGTCTGGAAAATGTTGCTATTGTCTGAGATATTCTGTCACAATAAGAAAACTGTTTATTATCTTTTCATTAGATGAGTAGTATGTGTTTACTATAATAAATTTGGAATGTATAGAAAAGCTGAAAGAATAAAAATAACAAATTACTTCAAAACAAAAACTTGGCATTCTGGTTAACAGTCTTCTTTTTATCATAGAATTAATTTATATATTCCACCAGGTCAAGTTTTCTTGTGCCTATTTTAACTTATAATTCAGTTTAGGCCTCAGGTATTCTATAAACTACTGGTTAGGAAATAAAAGTCAAATAAGAGAGATATCTTAAGTACCTATATAGCAAAGAATTTTTCCCTCTTATTTAGTGGTTTTTGATGGGAATATTTATATCTCTTATGCTAATGCTGTTGCAATGCTACTGAGGTCAAAAGTTGCCCAAGAAGTTACTTTCTTGACAAAGCCCCTGATGGCTGCCTAGTTTGGGGTGGTTTGTCTGTCCTGCAGGAGGGGTCCTAGAGTGTTAGCATGTTCAGGTTCATGACCTCTGGGGCTGCGGAACGTGGCTGCTCCTCTGCACAATTAACTATTGAATCAAGGGCTTCGGTTGCATTCTCCCAAATGGTTTGTCACTCTTCAGAAATTATCTTCCTCTTTGTTGCAAACAGTGCCCGTATGTGTCAGCACCATTCAAAGCACCAGCAGTGACGTCTGCATCACTAACATTTCTGCTTTCTTTGTCAGTTCGTACCCAGGCTTCTATCTCTTTTGCCTGAAGTTTTTCCTGAGGCTTAAAAGAAACTCTTTCCAAAGTGTGTCCTAACATTTTTGGAAATGACTTAGTCTCTTAAGGATACAAAGTCTTTATCAGAAAAAAAAAAGAAAATGACTTTTGCTGACATGATTTCAGGCCAAACTTTTCTTTAAACTCTTTTTAGTTTTGATTTGAATAGAATACCAGGCATAAACACATTTAAAATTGTATATTCATTGTAATAATGGAATGGCAATCCTGAATATCACATGCCTGACAAAATCTACTTTTTCATTAAACTTCATATGCAATAAAATTTTCTATCTTTAATACTTTCTATAGGCTGACCCAGGGAGTTCCTATTCAGTGGCTGAGAGATAGCAATACTGTCACAGATACCGCTGTATTTCCTCTGAAGTGAGCTGAATAATTGTGTAAAAACAGGATAGTTTTGTTATCCTCACATAAGCCTGTGGTTCTGAGAAGATCCTTCACTAAACGTAAATAAAAATAGGAGGAGGAGGTTGGGTATGACTAGAGAGACTCTCTTTGACTTTCCAAGCATTATTTGTACTCTGCAAGCAAGAGGTAACACTCTAGGACCATGCAGTTTCCCAAATATTAAACTGTCAGCCTATTCTTATGTTTAATTCAGATAAACTTTCATTATGTATAAAGCTACAAGTTAAATTAGACCAACTTTATGTGACTTATGTATCAAGCTTGAGCCTAAGCTTGTTTTATTCTAAGATACAGGCAAGCCAGGGAAGGAAGGTCTAGGACCAGTAAGTCAAGCCAGGAAATGCACTATTCTGTAAGGGTCCAAGTTACCACTGGGGAGGCAAAGAGAAGAGATAGTTGAGGCTCATAAATGTGATTCAAGGACAACAGAAGTTATTAAAGAGAAAAGGAGATGTCGGTCTAAAGTAGAGTTTACACCTTAGATTATCCCATGGAATTGCCCCAGTGAGTCTACCTGAGGGAAAGAGCCTGCAATAGAATAGCAAGATATCTTGGCCATTGAGATCACAAGGTACCGGCAGCATTGGGACCCACAGCTCATGCAATGTTCAGTGTCAGAGTCTGCAGCTTTGGTGGCTGCGACAGCCACAGAGGGTCTGGGATAGACCTCTACAGCAGCAAGCAGTCACTTATCCTAGCAGTGTAATAGTCACTTTGGGCATTGACAGTTGCAGCAAAGAATTCAATATAATGAGCAAAGGCAATGGTCCAATCCACAGAGCAGCCCGGGAGGCTGCTCAGAAAGGGCAAGGGAGACAACCCAAAGGGCTCCAGGTGCTATTTGTGAGGAATTAAGGTCGTCTGGACTTCCTATACTGTTGTTAGAGACTAAGACAAAAGAATAATAATAATAAGATACATGATGGTGGTTGTCTTACCTCTCAGCTGGCATAATGTAGGAAATTAACTTACAGGGGAAATTGTTTAGAAATAAGTTTTCTCAACAAGCCATACAAGTTTTCTAACACTCCCTTCATCTTCACAGAACTTGCTGGGTTTATTTTTAATATCTTCTAAAGGTATCTCACATTGAAAGAATTAGAAATACTCATGGCTTTACTTAGGAAACCCAACTAAGAGATGACAGAACTAAACAAATAAATATTTGTTTATCATGTAACAAGAAGTCTGAAATTGAAACGTTTCTGGCCTTCATCCAATAGCTCGGTTAAGAGAAATGCTTCCCAGAAATCAAGTCTGCTTTTGTGGCAGGAAGAAGGTGGCCTAGGAAGGTGGAACAAAGGATGCACGAGGAGAGCCTTCTTTTTTATCAAGAAAATAAAAACTCCAGGAGACTTCCAGTTATATTTATTTCGCTAGAACTGCATTGAATGCCCTTTAGCCATAAGGGAGGCTGGGAAAATTGGTATTTAACTTTTCCACCTTTCATAGTAGAGAGAGACAAAGGAGAAATAAATGGAGAATAGTGTTGGGTAAGGCAGCCCATAGCATCTACCCCAAGCACCAAACCATTCTTTAGAATCTCAGTATTCTGTCAATTAAATTTGTACATAATATTTTCATGCCTGTTCAATAAATACTGGATGAGAGATAGATACGATCTTTTATCTTTTCATTAAAAATTACATTTAAAATGCTGTATTTGTTTTCAAGTCTGATTGTGTACACAATATAAAGTTTTGGTCAACCCAACTTTGGTTTACACAAAAACCTGAAAAAAAATTAACTTTTTTTACATTTTTTGACCCCTCATGTATGACTCGTGAAGTAGAGACAGTACTAGAATTTTAGTCTGACAGACTTACTTATAAAATTTGACTTTCTAAGTGTAAAATTTTGGACAACTTAGTTTCCGTGGTAGCCAGCCTCCAAGATGGCTCTCACCAATCCCTGCTGGCATTCACATCCTTGGAGAGTCTTCGCCCACAGTGTGTCAGCGTTGGTCTGTATGACCAATAGAACATGACAGAAGGGATGGTGTGTCACTTCCAAGATTATATTATAAAAGACTGCAGCTTCTGTCTTGAACTCTGAATCTCTTAAATTTCTCTCTCAGGGGGAAGCCAGCTGCCATTTCTTCCGGACATCACGCAACCCTGTGGAGAGGACCAAGTGATGGGGTAAATGAGATCCTTGTTCCAAACGGTGAGAGAAACCGAGGCCTGCCAACAATCAAGAAAATGAACCTGGAAGCTAATCCTGCAGCATTCAGTGACTACTGGCCTAGCTGACAACTTGACTGCAATCTCATGAGAGACCCTGAGCCAGAACCACCAGCTAAGCTGCCCCAGAGTCCTGGCTCTCAGAAATTGTGTGAGATAAATGTTTTTTGTTTTAAGCTGCTAAGTTTTTGAGTAACCTGTTACACGGCAATAGATAACTAACACAACTTCTTTAAACTTCACTGTCCTGTATCTCTAAATTGGGTATATAAATGACTGTTGTGAGGATGATAAAACAATGTAGGTGAATTTGCCTAATCCTGTTCCTGAAACATAATAAAGGCATAAAATATGTCAATTTGACAAATATTATTTGTTCACGATCATTTTCACACTTACGTTTTTCAGAACTCCTTTACTTGTTTAAGATTGGCACAATTTTAAAAAATACCTTTGCCCTTCCTTTTTCACTGGAACTAGTGTAGAATACATGTCATTGTACACAGCTGGCTCTGTAACATGGCCTTGGCACTTTACTGCGGTGAAGATGGTTTTGTTATTTAAGGTCACTTGTGTTTAATAATGAATGTCTTGCCCAGAATGCTGAATGGTAATGTCTGATGTGTCTTTAGTGGGCTAACAACTAAATAAAATATTTCTCTATTGATGCAAATAGGTCCTGTCTTCCACTAGAAGGCCTCGGGTCATTTTAATATGCCTGACTGGGGGAACGCACATCCGTTACTGAATCACTGACATAGGGAGTACGTGGCAGA